AACTGGCTGATGTCGACCGTGACAGCCGGGTCCTCATGATATTAAATAAGACGCATGATGTACTGCGGAATGACACGATTTATTTTGTGAGTCTTCAATAAAAAACACAAGTACATGAAAACATTTACATACATGAGCTTTATTATTCATGACCAATATTGAATTTCTCGCTTTGTTGCAAAACATTTTTATTTACATTTACTTCAAATGGAATGACTCCGTATACAAATAATGGACTGTGCAACTGTCTATAGTTTACCTAGATTTAATATCGTGGAACCAGGCTAAAATTAAATCATGCGTAAACAAGTTGTCTACCTAAAGGGGAACTGTTTCGCATTTGGACAAAACGCATCGGTACATGAAACAGCTGTTGCATTGCACTGTCATCAAACATCTGAAGTTTTCAATTTATCCATCTGTCGATTTGTTGACTTTTAGAAACTAAAAACAAGTTCGTTTTGAAGAAATTCATCTTTTAAAGGTTTGTATTTTGCTATTGAGATGATTTGGATAGTGATATGCAGACGTGATGGTCAATATCAAACATTTTGAAAAGATGGCGGCCGAAAGGGTGAATATTTTCACCTTTTGGAAATAATTAGGCAGTTTATGTTCGAAAATAGTTATTTTATATGTTGATACTTGTCTGGCCAGTAATTATCATATGCTGCATCAACATTTAAGTCATAAACAGAACATATGATCCATAAACCTATTAATCAGTTCCTAGACGATCCAAATTGACAACATAAAAGTTTGTTTTGATGACATTTATCATGAAGAGGGTAAATACCTATGAGAAGATCCTGGAAAATTTTTGAAATGTTTAGCAGATTAATGCCTAAATTATCATATGAGTGTTTCGTAATTACAAATTGACTCTCTCGTTATTTCGAGAATATGTGTCTTATCATTATCACTATCTCGTATTACAATGTCGTTATTATAAGACAAGAATCTCGTTACAACGATATTATACTAAATGGTTTATTATGTTATATGTGTAGAATGCTCATATGAACTGCAAAAAGTACTTGTATATGATTAAGTCTTTTATGTCATATCATGTTACAAGAATGTCAAGATGGTCCTTCTATCGCTCGCCTTATTAGCAACGTGGTGATGCCTAGGCAATTACTTTGATTACACAATAACGAAGGAAGTAACGTTCTTTTAACCATAATTTTCATTAATCTTAATCAAATGACCTGAAATGAAACCTAAAAGGAAGACATTCATTGGAAGATATCCAAGTAAAAATAAATAACTCATTTTAGCCCGATACTTTTACTCTCTTAGACGTTGCGCCAGGCAGCGAAAAAGAATGATTTTTTATATTTCGTTATAAAGAAAGATATGATAGGAAAAATTGGTCTCAACGAAAAGCAATAATAAGTAACATAGTATTGGTAGTTCAGCGTTTGTTTCATGAGATTTTACAATCTTTAAATCACTATTGGATCCAATCAAATCAAATTGTTATCTTTCCCGTTTTCCGAGTGCAAAATTGTATCAAATCACCTTTATATTCTGTTGAGCCTCGTATAATGCGGTGGCTTAGATTTTTTCACAAATGCAGTCATGTTACAATACTATCTTACTTATTATTGCTTTTCGTTGTGGCCAATTTTTCCTATTACTTTAATGAATGTCTTCCTTTTATGTTTCATTTCAGGTCATTTGATTAAGATCAATGAAAATTGACCAATAATAATATTGAAAATTAACTCATGGGTCAAAATATAATGTTACAATGAAATGAAATGCGCTTTTAGACATCGCCGCTAATCCTGGTTGCCGCAATTTAACCATCTAAGTAATTCTCTCAAAACCATTATCAAATTCAAGGGAGGTAATTCGAAAATAAGGCAGAGTTATATAGTTCTTGTAAAGATGAAGTTGTTCAGGATATTTGATAGCCTATGACTGCGCTATACCAGGAAATGCTGTAATTGTGGTGCTATCGATCAATGATGCATTTGCGATACACTTCCTTGTTCTTAAAACTCATTACCGGCCATCACCTCGGACACTGTCTTATAGTTATTGTGAAATATTTGTTATAACGTAGCATAACTTCAGATAGTTATTGTGAAGATCGAAGCTAGAATGTAAATTAATTTAACAGCAGAAATAAATATACCCTTATGATTTGCTCAAATTGCCCTGTATTTGATGCTTAAAATCTACACTCATGCCAATTGAACTCACATTTCACAATTACATTTATGTATGTGTGTGTATGTGTGTGTGTGCGTGTGTGCGTGCCTGTGTGTGTCTTTGCATGTCATGTATGTATTTATCTAGGTTCAAAAATAACGGGGTTACCCTTTAAGGGCCTCAAAAAAAAATCTTTTAGATAACAGGACATTGTGTCATAGTATTGAGTTGTCCAGGTATTATAAGACTTTTGTGTAGATTTTATTAACAGATTACCAAGGGTATTGTAGCTTTTAACTGTTGATATTTAGATAATATATATAAAAGAGTGACGTATTCAAGTAAATCTCATATACATGTAGTTATATTTGGATTTATTCAGATGGACAATGCACTGATTTGTATGTATATTAATATTTGTCAATGTCGGGTATACTTTGATAAGATTTCATTAAGAAATAAATATATGAGTGATCTGTTAAATGTTAGGAAACAGCTGCTAATCAGTTCCAGAATTATCTCCTTTTCTGAATTCAGATAAATTGTTATAAGTGAAATAAGCATGAAAAGAGAGGTAACTCTTCAGTACATATGGGAAGTATTTGCAATATGGACTGAGGAGTTGTCTCCCCTGTAACTATGTATAGTCTATTATAATTCTTATCAGAATGACCATACAGGCATTTATGGTTTTATGTTTAACAATTTATAATTGAAAAATTGTAAATGTTTTGTATGGATGAGACTTTAATAAAGATTATATATGTCTTGACACAATTTAAGGATAAGCGGGTACGGGGTCTTACTTCCCCGGGGAAAAAGTACATCTGGAATGCCATAGATACATTTCAGAGGGTAGCTAAGGATCTAAAGTCAGTGAGAAATTATAGTTTAAAATGACTTGATATTGAACACCTTCCTTAAAGGATGATTTTTATTTTTATTTTTAAATGATAACGGTGAAATAAAGGTATCTAACAAATCTAAATCAAACAACAACAACAACCCCCAACCCCAATAAAAAAAACAAAAACAAACATACAAGCAAAATGGGAAAAAAACTCCCACAAAAACCCCAAAACAACAACTAAACTACTTTGCACGTTGTTTTTTTTTGGACAATCTGATGAAAATTAGCTCTAAATAACGCTAACAGTGACCAATTACGAAGTTATTTCTGGTGATCTTTCACATAGCCTATCATCGGCGAGCTTTCATTATTATGAAAGCGATGCGGTTTCTAATTTTAACCCTGTGAAAACCAATACTGAGTAAGAAATTGTCACGATTTCGAGTTGATCAGATAGCAGACAGATAAACTGGCTTTAACAATCTTGCCAATTAAAATTGACATTTTTTTCTAACAAAAATCAATAATTTGTTTAACTTCCACGGATAACGGTATTTTGATACTTTTTTAATGTAAAACCCGGTTTGATTGCATAGCTAAAAACAGCTTTCTCGGGAAAGGCGATACATATACGGTCGTAAACAGAAATAGGTAGATCTAAACTTTTGTCAGATTGGTTTTTAGTTATGACGTAGTCCTAACTAGTGTACTTACAAACCCGACATTTCCAACTTCCGATTTTTCTAACCATACAAGGTAACGCCCACTGCAGTGACGTTTTATCACCACTAGTTATGCTATATTGTATTCCTACATTTTTCAAGGAAGTTGAATTCATAGTGATCATCCGACCATGACCGATTCGAGTGAAAAATAGTGCTCTGTATTTCTGAAAACTTTGATTTATTGCGAATAGAAGAGGAGATAAGAAATTCATTTTTTGAAAATCATGTGCAATATAGCTAGAATTACGGTATTAGAAATGTAGCAGATATAAATTGAAAGTTCGAGTAATTCTATGAATGGAGATAGTAATTCTATGAATGGAGATAAGCGATTGACGGCTCGAAATATTCAGCTTACTCAGCCGTACCTTATCATCACATTTTTGTATGATATTCCAGAAATTTTTGAAAAAGACAATTTTTATCGAATAAATTTGGTAGGTTATAATTACAAAGTGAATATTGAAATAGAAATATCCAGAGATGTAGACAATCTGTGTCTCGAAAATAGCCTATAATTAGATGAATCCGACAACTTCCTGTTTACTTTATGACCTTCTTGACAAGCATATCAGCCTGTTTAGCCCATAAGGTAAGTTTTAAAGCAATATATGTTATGAAATTGATGAATTATAATACCGGCCCAATAATTACAAAGTTATATGTTGTACAAAATTTTGCATTCATACCATTAGGAGATAATGTGTTAAGCTTATGAATCCAGTATGATTCTTGGTTTATACAGAATTTATTTTATTTCGATTGTGTAGGAAGCTATAAGCTTATAGACACACTTTCGAATCCGTTTCTGGAACCAACCAGTAATGATCAATGAGTGTAAAGTTTCTTGCTCAAGGAAACAACGACTTGCCCCTAACTGGTTTTGAACCCATGCGGCTAGCTATCATTAGATTACTAGTCCGACACGTTAACCACTCGGCCATGCCGCCACTAAAGTTAATGTTGATTAATTCAAATTAACTTTTTATTTTGTGTTAAAATGTTAAAAGTATATTTATTACAAAGAAAGAAGGTTTGTTTCATGAAAACCGCAAATCATTTTTTCTCCGACAACAATTAGTAGACACACAAAACATGTATGTATCTTCACGTGACGAGTATACTCGTCATGCTACTGACATAAGCTACTTGGTCTGGACTATTATATCATGTTGAAAGACTTAATTTATGTTTAAATGAATCTTACTGAAAATTCCTAGTTATTTTACTAATGTTGTCGTGTTAGTGATTGATTATGTCTTTGCCTGATATGTTTTTTCTTTTCTTTTTCAGACATGAAGCACTGGATAATATTAATGGGCATTTGTGGTAAGAAGAAGTATATGAATGTAATATTTTGCTAAATAATTTCGCATAAAGTTCGAGTATCCATTGTCTTAAATAATGACTTCGCACTCTCAACATATATTTGATATATATTTAAGCTTTGATACAAGTAATAAAGTCTTCTGATGTATGCAGTGAAGGAACAATTAAACAACTGTGGCAAAAATGTGACAACACATATTTTGTGTCAGACGTTAAAGACATGGCGTCGATGAAGAAAATGTGCAGCAAGTAAGTAGTTTCAGTAAAACATAACGGTAGGAGACAATGACTTTATCTTTAAATTTCAATCCATCAACTTTGTTTAACGGAAGTTTCCTGTTGAGATACGTGCTTTATCATTTAACTTTCACTCTGTCAACTGTATAAAAAAAAAACCAGTTTCCTTGTATATAACAATTTTTTTCGAAGTCAGCGTGCCTGTTGCCCTGCTGCCCCTGCTGCTATGAACGTGACTTTTATGTAACGTGGTAAATAGGTCATAACACATCAAGTAGACCTGTATGTCATAATCCGGGTAAATTGGTCATACCTAAGTGTCAATGAGTCAGCTTGATTCCAAAAAGCCATTGTTATCCGTACTGTCGTCATCCTGTTAGAGGATAGACCATCGCTTCACAATGAGGCATAGTCCAGGGAATGGATGAAATTCCTATTTCTTACGAGGTACGCCCTTTTTCAAAGATTAATGCTCTAACAGGGACATTTCTGTGACATCATTAGATTAAGTATAAATATTACTTGATATAAATGATTTCTTCGTTATAGAAAAAAGACCAACTAACATCGTTTGAATTTAATTAACGGTACATTTTGAAACGATCGTTCCGATATGCCGGAGATTAAATTTTCAAATATATGAATTTATCTTGAGGTCACAAGACCACGCAGTCCAAGAGCAGTTAAAATAGTCAAATTTGTTTTGGTATCCATATCTCAAACATTCGCTGATATAGTATAATAATATTATTTATCAACTTTCCTCACCTTAAATAAATAGATCCGCTCGACTGAGATTTAAATTTTGTTTGCCAATTTCAAACGGTCAAAATATTTAGATACCTAAAGATAGTTAGATAAAGGCATACCTAATTTTCTAATCATATTTAATTTTATTGTCTAGTGTTGTCGATTTGAAACATTATAAACTTAAAGGAATAATAAAATTCCTTTGTTAACTACTTAATCGCATTCTGGGATACAGTTATCGTATGAATTAGTGTATCTTACCTTACTGAAAATAACAATATCTTAGTTCACAAATCTTAGAGCAATCACAGTAACTAAAACTAAAAAGGTAATGAAAACTTACTTTATTCAAGATCAGCCCCTGACACGAGTCGGATGGTGTTGTCTTCGTGCCGAGGGACATAAGGGAATATTCCCCAGACTGAAATATTTTAGATAACATTAAAATACTCAATAAACTCTAATAAGGTAGTGTTGCGTTACTTATATCATTAAATGGTGCTCAGAAAATACCAAAATGGTTTAATATTACTATTAAATTAATCAAAATTATTATATACTTTTTGACTATATACTATAATTATTTGATAATGCGTGTTTACAATAGACTGGAAGTAAATAATGTAAAGTAAAATCGAGAAATTGGGAAATAAATCTTAATCAAGCGATTGTATTAACACAAGGTAAATAAGTTGACTATACTTTATCAACGAACGTTGGAGATATGGATGGCTAAAGAGACATGAAGTTTTTCCATTCTGAAGCGATGACCTATCCCCTAATAACAAGATGACGTCAGTAAGGATAACAATTGCTTCTCATTGACACTCCCTTATGACCTAATGACCGATATTATGCCATACCAACGCAATGGGTCCTAACCTATTGACCTCTGTTTCTATTGGTCATGCAAAACACGAGCAAAATAGATTGGGGTAATTAGAATTTAAAATGTTTTTGTTTTTATAACATTTCTAGAGGAAAAAATAAACAAGATAATGTAAATTGAATGTACTTAGCAATTATTCCAACGTCCATATATTAAATCTTTAAATATATAGTGGACAGCCTATCAAGGATGAGACACATTTCATATTCATTTAATCGCATCATTTTTTAAAGAAATAATCAATGCCGTTCTTCCAGCATTAATTAATTTCACATTTTGACAAAATTGGGCGCTTACGTGTACTTCTATGAAACTATATAAGTTTCTTTGCATACTTATTTCAGCATGTTAAATGCTATGAACGCTCTAAAATGTTCTGTACATAATAATAAAAAAATATATAAGGAAAAAATATAACAAAAATTATTTGATTCATGCTTATTGTCATGAAAAGTTTGTTGAAAATGTATTTAAAAATAAAATATTAAAAAGGTTACATAGAAGATAATGTCATTGCAAACGGAGTAAACATTCCACGTAAATTCTCATATGCAAAAACACTGTGGTACATCGTTCAACGGAAAAAACACACCTAAAAAATCGAAAACGAAAGTATACGCATAAGTATAAGTGTACGTCGAGTTCACCCAAACTGAAGTTTCAACTTATTTCTCAATCATACATTATTGATTTTTCCAAACTAAACGACTTTTTTTTAAATTCAATATGTTTGGTTTTAGAGCAGTATTTGCCTTTTCCTGCAAATTAAATGCTTTTTGTTAAATTTGTGATAAATTGTAGCGTATTTGTTGACATTTGCGAATGATGTTAATATTTACCACTAAACCAAGCCCAAAACGCATTTTCGGGAAGTCTATGTTTTGTATTAAAGGCGTGGCGTTTTTTTTTTTTTTGATACAGAAAATGCGTTTTGGGCTTGGTTTAGTGGTAAATATCAACATCGTTTGCAAATATCAACAAATACGCTACAATTTGTCGCCAATTCAACAAAAAAATATACAATTTGCAGCAAATACTTCTCTAAAACCAGTTGTTTTCAGCTTCGCGTAATTTTTTAGTTTGAAAAAATCGATTAAGTAATGAGGTGAACTTGACGTACACCTTTTTACTTTCGTTTTCGATGTTTTGAGGTGCTATTTACGTGAACGTTGTACTACAATGAAAAATAGTAGTCCTTACAGTGCATCCCGATACATTCATAACGGTATTTACATAAATGCCCGTGAGTCAAGAGGATTATTGTTTATTTCTAAATAGAAATCAAGGGAAAGTGCGCATGTAATTAATTTGACTTTTACATTGTTTTACCTTTGCACTAAAACTATTCACTTTGGTAGACATAATGTCGCTTAAAAAGCTCTTACCTGTATACGTGCGCTATTATAAGAATATGTTTGTGCATGATATCAAATGTGGGATATAATGTCATCTGGGCCGTAATCGTCATGTATTGCTCAAGTCAATACTATGACGGTGTGCAAGTTGGATATCCGTCTCGCACATCGATCTTTCTAGACGAAAAGCACCTCAAGCGCTGCGCGCTCTCCGTGCCACATGAAGTTTGTGACAAGGTCTTTCCTAAACAGAAAAACACCGTACTCAGTCGATAATTGAATTAAAGATAGTATGCACATATAAGTCTCTTCGCATAGTTATTTAAATACATTTTATCTTAGAAGTATCAAAAAACGTGTGATCTGTTATTTGTAGTTAATGAAAAAAAGTTACCCGATCAGTAGGCAATAATATTTATTATATAAATACAGGGTACCTCGATAAATTTGCAAAATATATACAGATTGTAAACACTTATCAATTGAACACATTAATAATCAAATAATATAGCGGACACTTACTGAATATCATAAAATGAGGGTACCTTATAAGTTCTGATATTTGTTTTGTTTTTGTTGGGGTTTTATTTGGAGGGGGTTCGGGGTGTGTGCGTGTTTTCTCGATATTTAAATGTGCATGAGTAAACAGGATCGTAAACGTAGGTGGAGGTCTCTTTGTTTTAAACAAAATGTAAATTAACTGTTCACTAGAAAATGATCGAAAATGTTAAATGGGAGGAAATATGATTAAACAGATTTTAAAGTTAAACGGAACTTAAATATCTCAGCAATTTAACTAAAAAGTTGAACAACTGTCCGGTATATTTTTTGTTTTAGAACTATTCTTTTCATTTTATCTTATAATGGCAAAAACTATACTTTACTTTTTATTTTAATACTATATTTTATAATTTTATTTTGGATTGGCAAGAAATATCCTTAACATTTTATTTTGGAATGGCCAATGAGCTTCCAAGATTTCAGTTTGTATTTTTAAAATGAGCAATCAAATTTCTTTTTGTATTCAGTTCTTCCCTGTATATTTAACAGGAAGTACAACTGATTTTAGATTTCTTCTGCCAAAAAGACCTAGATCACACTTACGCCCTTAAGTATTTTATAACACGAGGGACAGGGTCAGGGCCATGCCTTGACTCAATTTAAAAATAGCTGTCTCGGGAAATCCGAGTTATAAAGATCGGTCGTAAACAGAAATAGGTAGAGCTGAACTTTTGTCAGATTGGTTTTGTAATAAACTTTTAACTTCCAACGCAACCGAACAAATTCGTATAAACAACACAGTTAAAAGTTTCAAAATTTTAAAATGTTTTATAATATTTAATATATATGTGCATCATTGAACATGAAGCAGTAAGTATCTTCCATGCTCGACGTTTGTGTGGCTAAGGTGAGCTTTTGTCAGTGATGGTAATGTGTCTGTCGTAACCCAGCCAACATTCTATATCGGCCCGACATCAAACCGACATGGTTTTCTATGACGGCCCGATGTCGGCTTTAACCTCGGCTGCAAATAGGAATGATGTTGGCCCGACATCGGCAGAACAATATCGGGCCGACATCTTAACGATATAGGCCCGATATTTCTTGCCGACGTCGGGCCTACATCAAAACAATGGCGGTGCGATGTCAGCCAACAGTAGAAAGATATCGGTCCTATTTCGACCAGGTATCATCCTTATGCTAGCATGTTGATGACATCTAGCAGCAAGCATTTGGCACAACCTGCAAAAACACAAAATAAAAGATAATTATTCTACCAAATTAGACAATAAAGACACATATTTTAACTTAAATGTGCAAATGACAATCACTACCATGATATATAATGCATGCCGCGAAATCATGTGACAAATATTTTCAAACATAATTTTACATCTAAAAAAGAGACAAACAGATAAATTGTGTTTTTCCAATAATTTTAAGTGTAAAAATCAAATTATTAATTAACAGCATTTGCAGATTTGTTGAATCAGCATTACATTAAAAAACATGCTTTT